ATTACCAATGGTACTTACCAATTAAAGTTCCAATCTTTGTTTTGTTAAATGCAGATCCTGTGCTCATGTCTTTGTTTTGTCTGCAGTAACAATGCAATGGGACTATGGTCCAAAGTTAAAGGAAAGGGTACTCAATTCACTCGTCCTTTAGCTGTTGCAGAGGTTGGTTTTGTTTTAGTCTTTAGAAATTTCGTGTCTTTTGTTTTGTTTCTTATCAGATTGTCACTTATATTATTATATAGGCCCTTGTTACAAATCTCCCTACTTGTGATATGGTGGAATCATGCTCTGTTGCACAACCTGGATATGTTAATGTTGTACTATAAGTTCAATGGATGGCTAAGGTTAGCGATCATGTTTCTATTTCTCTCTTTGTATAGTCATTTTCTAGTCCTCGTAATCATTGTTTTTATTCTAATGTTATCTGCAGAGTATTGAAAATATGCTTATCAATGGGATTGAGACATGGGCGCCTACTCTTTCAGTTAAGAGAGCTGTAGTTGATTTTTCCTCTCCAAATATTGCAAAGAAAATGCATGTTGGTCATTTAAGATCAACTATCATTGGTGACACCATAGCTCGTATGCTCGAGTACTCTAATGTTGAAGTTCTACGCAGAAACCATGTTGGTGACTGGGGAACACAGGTAGCTACATTTTCTGCTCTTTAAATAATTACTTCGTCTGGTGAAACCAAATGTTTTTTTTTATTGTTGGTATTCCAATATTTATCAAAGAGATAAAAGCTGAGTTTATTTTGCAGTTTGGCATGTTAATTGAGAACCTCTTTGAGAAATTTCCTGATTCAAATAGTGCGATGGAGACAGCAATTGAAGATATTCAGGTAGGCTGTTCTGCAGTTCTTCCTTATGTACGGATATTGGCATACTGTGCTTTATCTTGAAGAATCAAAGCAATTCAGTTTCTAACTTTTAGATGTCATCTTACAGTCGTTATACAAGCCATCAAAAACGAAATTTGATGCAGATTTAGACTTTAAGCGAAAGGCACAACAGGCCGTGGTCCGTCTACAGGTGTTCTTCTGTTTGGCACTCTCTTGTGTGTTCTCCTAACCTGAATCACTTGTGTGTTCTTCTGTTTGGCACCCTCTCAATATGCAGCTGCCTTTAGTTAAATTACTCACTTGTCTCTTTTCTTTTCTTTTTGTGCAGGGTGGAGATCCTGTATACCACAAGACTTGGCAAAAACTTTGTGAAATCAGCCGAGCCGATTATGCCGAGATTTATCAACGCCTTCGAGTTGAGCTTGAAGAAAAGGTAAAGGCATAGCAGGACATATACTGATATGATTTGAGATAAAATTGAAACAGATGACTAATGATAACTTACACTGATTCATGTACAGGGAGAAAGCTTTTACAAACCTTATATTGCTAACATGATTGAGGAATTGAATAGCAAGGGTTTGGTTGAAGAAAGTGATGGTGCCCGTGTGATGTTCATCAAAGACTTCAAGAATCCATGCATGCTTGTTAAGAGTGATGGTGGTTTTACCTATGACACAACAGATCTTGCTGCTCTTTGGTGGGTTATCTTTCTGTTAATTATTACTCTATAAAATCTGGATTTTAGTTAGAAATCATTGGAAAATATATCTCATCTGTTATGAATTTTGGGTCTGTATTTGCTCAAGTGTGTGGCTTATTAATCTAAACTTGCATATTGTTGAATGAGTTTGTAGCTGATGCAAGAATCTTCTTGGTCTAGGTATCGGCTTAATGAAGAGAAAGCTGAGTGGATTATTTATGTGACAGATGCTGGCCAGCAGGAGCACTTTGATAGGTTCTTCAAAGTAAGTTTGATGAATAAATAATTTACGACTTGTGAAATGTTCTGTCTTGGCTTAAACTGTCAATCGTAACTGTGATTATCTTGTCACTCTGAATCAGGCTGCTAGACAAGTAGGTTGGCTTCCAGACAATGATGAAACTTACCCTAGAGTTAGCCATGTTAAGTTTGGTGTAGTCAAGGGGGAAGATGGCAAGCGGTTTAGAAATCGCGATAGAGAAATAGTCCCTCTAGCTGATTTGCTAGATGAGGCCAAGACTCGCAGTAAAGCTGCCCTTATTGAGCGTGGTATCTAACTTTATGTCATCACTCTCTACATTTTTGAATTGTTGAACCATTAACTTCTTGTGTTCTTATTCATCCCTTATATGTTGTCACTCAGCTTTAGCTAAGGAAAAAGAATGGACACCCGAGGAGCTGGACCAAACAGCTGAGGCAATTGGATATGGTGCGGTGAAGTAAGTATCATCTCTATTCTACTGCTGGTGACAGTGATTTCTATTTACCTACTATCTTCTTGTTTTTCAGTGAATCAAGGCTGCACAAATTTGATGAATGTTTTTATGCTACATCTAACTTGGCTGTTTTGTTTAATTTTGTTTCAAGGTATGCTGACTTGATGAACAACATATCTACAGATTATAAGTTCAGCTACGATAAAATGCTTAATGAAAAGGTACTGGAATTTGGCAGCTAGTATATATATTTGTATTATCCAGTCACCTACACATGCATATCAAATATTAAATATTTGGTCATATGTCATGAGCAGGGAAATACAGCTGTGTACCTTCTTTACGCTCATGCTCGGATCTGCTCAATCATCAAGAAGTCTGGCAAAGACATAGATGAGCTTAAAAAAGTATTTAGCTGCATGAACTCAAAATTACTTGATTCTATTCATTGAATACTTAAGTTTCAACACCTATTTTATTTCAGACTGGAAAGTTAGCATTGGACCATGCTAATGAAAGAGCACTTGGACTTCACTTGCTTCAATTTGCTGAGGTATAACCACATGCTCATTAGATAGTACTTTCATAATCCACTTACCTTTTCTTGGTAACAAGATGAAAAAATGCCATTCATGTGAATGATTTGCAGACGGTTGAGGAAGCATGCACCAAATTGTTACCGCACATACTGTGCGAGTACCTCTACGATTTATCTGAACACTATACGAAATTCTACTCCAATTGTCAGGTGAGTTGCATTCCCAATATTCTGCTTATCTATTTAATATAGTGAGTAGTCTTAGACTGCATAATCATCCACCATTGTTCTAATCTTTCACTTAAAACATTAAACTTTTACAGGTCAATGGTTCAGCAGAGGAGACAAGCCGTCTCCTACTTTGTGAAGCAACGGCCATAGTCATGCGGAAATGCTTCCACCTTCTTGGAATCACTCCTGTTTACATGATATGATACATCATACTTAGAAAGGCTTTCTTTAGCTTTTATCTGTCTCTGTTCTCATTCAGTTTGGGTACTTTGAAGATAAAATCTGAACCCTGATGAATCATGAAAGTGTTTTTAGGTTAAATCTAAGTATCATCTTGAATTAGAATCACTCCCTTTGCAGTTCTGACCTCTGAGATTCTAATAAAATGCGTATTAGGTTTTGCCAACAAACAGATCAAAAGCTCGGAAGATAGGAATGAAGACTAACAACTTCTCTAGCTTCTGATCCAAAGATTCACTCGAAGACTGACTAGTGATGCTTTCAAAAGCTCACTGATGACTTGATAGTTTTAGCCTAGTCAATAAATTGAACTATTCTATTGGCAAAATTATTTTAATTTTTAACTTCAGAGAGATTTTTAATGTTATTGGTTAAGTTAACCGACTAATATAATTGGAAATGTGTACCAAACCAATTATGAACACCTCAAAGCGAATTTTTGCCACACTCAGTTTAAATTATTTAGCCAAAACTCTGCGTTTTCACTTTCGTGTCGTGTGTGTGTCTTTTAAGATGCGACGTTCGTGTTATGCGTGTTGTTTTTTTTAACATGCGTGTCGTTTTTGCATTGTCAAAACGACGAGTTTTTAAATTGGATGGCTAAATTTGTATGATTTTAGGAGTTAGAGAGTAATTTTGAACGAAATGGATATTTAGAGGGCTTTATTTGCAAATTTCCAAAAGTTCTATAACAGAGCATTTTTTCATTTTCCCTCTTTCTTCCTTACTATTTTCTATCATTCGAACGCTAACCGCCTCTTTCTTCTTCTCTCCCCCACTCTCTTGTTCGATTCAGATTTTGACGAGAAATATTCCCCTAATAGCAAGCTTGAGTTCTTCAATGGCGTCGCAGTTGCATACCAGTAAGGTGCAAGGCAATAGTGTCCCGAATCCCAACACAGTCGCTTCGATTCTCTATAGTCCTGAGAAAGCAGGAGCTTTCAATTGCGAGTACATATACGAAATCGGCCAAAAAGGTACGTTCTAGATCTTGATTTTTCTCCGCTTGAAGCGCAATGATGATTGTTGTTGAGATTGATCTCTCCAATTGAATCTGCAAAGAAGAATACAAGCATCAATGATAAAGGTTTGAAGAACAAAGAAGAGAAGATGTGGATTGGTGTAAAGAAACCCAGAATCTAGTGAAGAAGAGAAGAAGCGATGGAAAGAAAGAAGAAGAAGTCAAAGTGTTTTTGGGTTAAGAAGTGTTTTGGGCCTTTGATGGTATAGGCCCAAGAGAAGAATGCTTTGTTTGTTGTTGGGTTACTTAAGCCCACACGTTTATATGTGTTGTTATGTCCTAAGTATTAGTGTTAACTTAGTTTGGTTATGTTACGTGAGTTGTTAGCTTGAGTGGCTGTGTAAGAGAGTGGTTAGTTGTTTTGCTTGTAAGCTTAGACCTAGAGCTAGTGATCAATGCATCTAAGGAGAATAGGTTAGCTAGAGCTTATGATTAAGAATGTGAGAGTATGGGGCAAGAAAACTCCTACTATAAGTATGTATGTGTAATCAATGTTGTAAGGTGTGAAATTATGAAATAAAAAACATATGTTAAGAAAATCAGAAAGATAAAGAGTGAAGAGAAACTTACAAATTCAGAAAGTTCAACATGGTATCAGAGCTCATCTTAACCTAGGAACCTGTTAAAACAAGAAAGAAGTAAAGAAGTGAAGAAGCCTGAACAAGAGTCATCAAAGAAGAATCAAAAAAGAAGAAAGAAATGGCAATAAACCTGCTGCAATCATCACAACTTGTTGCTGTGTTTGATGGCCAGAATTATGTATTCTGGGCTGCGAGAATGAGAACAACTCTCATGAATAAAGATCTTTGGGAAGTTGTTAAAGATGGAATCCCAGAACCGACTGCTCAACTACCAGAGACAACTCCAGGAGCAGATAAAGGCAAAGAAGCTACAAACCTGAAAGCTCTAAAAACCAAAGATACTGCTGCGCTCCAACTCATTCAACTTGCCGTCGCTGATGTGGTCTTTGACAAGATCCTCTCTGCAACCTCGGCACATCAAGCATGGATACTTCTGGAGCACTCTTACCAAGGTAACGAAAAAGTCAAAACTGTTAGACTTCAGTCACTAAGGAGAGAGTTTGAAAATCTGAAAATGAAAGAAGGGGAAAAGGTTAAAGGATATTCTGATAGAATTCAAGTGGTTGCAAACCAAATGAGTGCCTTAGGAGAAGGTAAATCTAACTTTGATTTGGTTGTTAAGATGCTTGCTTCTATGCCCAAAAGCTATGCCTCCTTGTCCTCATTGATGGAAGAAACCAAAGACCTGAAGACTGTCACTTATGCTGAACTAATTGGTTCATTGGAGGCACACGAAAAGAAGTTCTTTCCAGAAGATGAAGAAGATTCTGAAGGTGCCTTCTATGCCCGTTTCAAGAATCCAAACATGGAGAACAATGGCAGAACAAATCAAGGTCAGTCAAGTTACAGAAAGAGAAGGTGGTGTGGTCACTGTAAAAGGGATTATCACAATGAAGACATGTGTTTTGAGAAACATAGTAGGTTGAGGAACTGTTATGTCTGTGGTACATCTGGTCACTTCTCAAGAGACTGCCAAGCCAGGAAATCTGACGAAGCAATGTTACCCAACAGAAAGAAGCAGTGAAGGAGGAGAACTACCATTTGTTCACTGCAAGACAAGAAAACGGAGATGCAAATGATCTCAACAGTTGGCTTATTGATAGCGGATGCACAAATCACATGACTCCAAATGAAGCAATCTTTACTAACCTTGACACCAGCTTCAATGTACCTATTCGTATAGGAAATGGAGATGTGCTGATGACAAAAGGCAAGGGAGATATTGAGGTAGAAACCACCAATGGGAAAAGAATCATTCGTGATGTTTTCCTAGTACCCAACATTACCAAGAATCTCCTGAGCGTCTCTCAAATGATTGATCGTGGATACGAGATTAACTTCTTTGAAGGGAGCTGTGTCATTCGTGATCAAACTGGAAGACTTGTTGCTGACATAAAGATGATCGGGAAAAGCTTCCATATCCAATGGCCCACAAGAAATGAAGCAACTATGGCTGCAATAAAAGATGAAGCTAAGCCTGAGTTTCAGCTGTGTGAAAAGTGCAAGTGCTCAATTCCAACAGATCTACTGCCATACAAAAAGAGGTCTACAATCTCAGAGTCTCCTAAATCTGGAGTTAAAATCAACATATCCAACCAAAGAGAGTGGATCAGAATTGATAAAGGAGAATCAAATGCTGAACCTGTAGTATGTCAAGAAGAAAAGTCCAACGCTGAAAGAAGGAAGCTGGTGAACAAGGAAGTGAACAAAGGAAGTTCCGAAAATAACCAAAAGAGATTCAAGGTCAATGAACCAATTGAAGTTGCTCAAAAGAGCGAAAAGAAAAAGGAAGAGTTGAAATGCTTACTTGTGTCTGGAAAACCAAACATCATCCAGACGGGAGAATCAAGTATAAATCAAGAAAACCAACAAAGCAAGCTGAAATCTGTTGAAGGAAGAACCGATGGTGAATTGAGAAAAGCCACCATAGAGATCACCAAAAAGGTTAATGAATTCAATGCTCGGTCTCCCAAAATTCTGCAGGAAAAGAAAAAGGTAAAACTAGTTGAATCAGAAGGGACGAATGAAATTCAGAAAAAAATTGTTATAGAGGGAGAATCGAAACCTGAAGATGCAAGTACCATTGATACCTCAAGCAAGAGAGAGATGGTGAAACTGAACACTCCCATGAGCTATGCTGACGCTCTAAAACGAGCCCCTCCGATGAAACATTGGCTAAGCCGCAATGAACTAAAGGTACCAAAACTCAAATCCCTAAATTCATCTATGGGATACAATCGAAGAAATCAAGAGGGAGTGTTGAGATTGATCTCTCCAATTGAATCTGCAAAGAAGAATACAAGCATCAATGATAAAGGTTTGAAGAACAAAGAAGAGAAGATGTGGATTGGTGTAAAGAAACCCAGAATCTAGTGAAGAAGAGAAGAAGCGATGGAAAGAAAGAAGAAGAAGTCAAAGTGTTTTTGGGTTAAGAAGTGTTTTGGGCTTTTGATGGTATAGGCCCAAGAGAAGAATGCTTTGTTTGTTGTTGGGTTACTTAAGCCCACACGTTTATATGTGTTGTTATGTCCTAAGTATTAGTGTTAACTTAGTTTGGTTATGTTACGTGAGTTGTTAGCTTGAGTGGCTGTGTAAGAGAGTGGTTAGTTGTTTTGCTTGTAAGCTTAGACCTAGAGCTAGTGATCAGTGCATCTAAGGAGAATAGGTTAGCTAGAGCTTATGATTAAGAATGTGAGAGTATGGGGCAAGAAAACTCCTACTATAAGTATGTATGTGTAATCAATGTTGTAAGGTGTGAAATTATGAAATGAAAAACATATGTTAAGAAAATCAGAAAGATAAAGAGTGAAGATAAACTTACAAATTCAGAAAGTTCAACAATTGTGAAATCAATGTCATCTCGATTTTGAATTTTGTTTGTTGTTGATTTAGGTCTCGGCGTTCTTCAACAAGAAGATTCTAGGTTTAATAATTTCATCATCGGTACGATATAGATCTTAGATTTGACTCTGTGATTTCGCGAACATGTAGAAATTTCATCTTTGTTTTTTTCTTGTTGTTGTTGTCGTCGTTAAACTAGGCAAGAAGCGTCGTGGAATCAACGATGTGAAGTTTAGCTATAACGTTTGGGATCTGTTTCGTTATAAAGAAGAAATCAATCGGGATTCGCTGGGTAAGGAGGAATTGGATCAGATTAAAGCATCAATCAGGTCTTATCTGCGTTTGCTCTCCGATTATATGCAGTTTCCTGCTGCCTTGGATACTCTGGAGTATCTTCTGCGAATGTACAAGTACGTGTTTACTGATTTATTCTCTCTTTGTATTTGAGATAGATGGTAAATTTCCATTTGGTTGGTGCATTCAATAGATTTGATGATTTGAAGCTGTTTAGTAGAATGATTGATGATAATTCACCTAAGGAGCCCCATAACCAAATGATAGTGTGAGATACTGAGATTGTTTGAATGTGAACCATTTCATGTTTTGGTTCTTGGAGTTTCATAGAGGATTAAGTTGGATTATGCTTCATAAAATTGTTATTTTTCTTTTCATTTTTTTTTTGGTTCTGTGGTATAATTTTCTCACTGGTCTGTGTAACTATCCTTTTTCCTTGTATTCTGGTTTGATTCGGATACAAATTTGTTCTTGTTGTGTGTTGGAGAACTCAAAATAAACGTTTCTATATCTGACAAGGAACTATAAATAGACCTTAATGTATTACCTTATTTACTATTATTGAGAATTGGTTAACTAACCTTCAATTTAGTTCAATCGATTCGGCTCTTACAAATTTATTTACTCAACATATCTTTCTCATTAATTCAAATTGATAGATCTTCCTTCTGCAGATTCTCAAAGATCATTTGGCTGTAGATCCCTATAACTTAGGGATCCTCTAGTCTCGTTTTAATAGCTAATGTTTGTAAAGTAATAATCATCAGAGAACATTCTAATGTTGATTTTACAGGATCCACATATACGATTGGCAGGATTTGATTTTCTGTTCGTTGCCTTACTGTCATAAACCTGAATTTACCCGTATTCTTCAGCTGGTTTGTCCGAATGGGTGAGGATTTTTATCTTTGACTTCTGATGTTTAGAAGTATCACATAGTTTTCTAAACTTTCTGCCATTTGTATTACAGCAATAGCAAATGGGACTTACTTCTTGATCTTGTCAAAGACTCAGATGCTCCCGTCCCTAGAGAGGTTTTCATTAAAAGCCTATGTGATATACAGATTGTAAACAGCTTGTGTGAAAATGTAAGTAACCTAACTCTTTTCTTTTTCATCTTAAATTGGTTTTGAATACTGAATGTTTTTCTTGTAACTTTGCAGGCATGTGAGACTCGGACTAAGAAGTCTGAACTTTCAAAAAGCGTATTCATGTTCACCACGGCTATTATTTTAGGAGTACGCACAAAGCTTACAACAATTGATGAAGTAAAGCCAGTTGTGTTCTTTATAGATCAAGCTATCAGTTCCGGTGGATCATACACAACTTGTGCTTTGATGATCATCTGTCAGCTATCCAAGAAAACTTTACAACATTCGAATTTCTTGACTTGGATAGTCAAGACTAGCCAAGGCAGCCAAGATTATAACTGGCTTCGGTTATCCGTCATTACTTTGATCAATTTCGTTCAGGTGTGTTATCGTCAACCCTTACTTTGATTAACTGCTATTTGCTGTTATTTTACTTACTATTTTTGCTTAATAACTACAGCTGCAATCTGTGACCTCTATCCGTAAGAGTATCTTGGCCGATTTGATAAAAATAGAATATCTCGCACCAAAAGAAGATGAAACAGAAGATGAGAAAAAGGATAAAAAAAAGAAAGATAAAAAACAACCTTTTGCTAAGGTTCTTTTGGGCATCTCGGAGGAGTTCAACATCAGCAGATTTTTGGATATTCTACTAGATTCTTGTCTCCCTCACTATGACACGTATGAGGATCGCTTTTCTCAAACGATAGCCTCGATCATTGATACTGTTCCAATGAATATTAATATGGTTGATCTGACATCCAAAGTGCTCTCTCAGTGTATGATACTGTCAGGTCAGTGAAATACCCACTAAGTTTCTATTGCAAATGTTGAAATGCCCTCTAAATGACTACAACATTGCAGGGGAGTGGGCGAGGACAATTCTGCTTGCCATTTATAACAAGTATCCTGATGAACTATTGGAAGCAGTTGAAAATTTTCTGGATAATGAAATTCAGACAGAGTTGAAACTCGATATGCTGTCTCAGATGATGGATTTCTGCGAACTAGACAAGGTAGCAATGCTGATTATAGTAATAGACTTATTCTTCTATTTATTTCATGCATTACTGAGGTTCTTTTTTGTTGAATTGTAGGTTGCTTTAGGTCTTGCCTTCAAGAAAACGGTATGTGTTTTTTGTTAAATATGTATGAGATTTTTGATGTGCCCCCCCCCCCATTGGATTTTAATAGTTAATGTGTGACTGCAGCTACTCAAGTGTGTAAAAGAAAAAGCTCAGAAACTTAGGACTGAAAAGGCGCTCAGCGGCTCTTCTTCTCAAAACAGGAGAGAGCTGAATGCTGATGATATAACTATCGAATTATTTGGGAAGATGTGTGAAGAACTTGTTAGTGATAGTTCTGGGAATGGTGTTGTTCCGAACTGCAGCTCGGCCGTCGCT